GTCGGCAGAGGCATGTAGATTTGTTTGTTCAGCAAAGGTAAATGAAGCCGCGATTTAAATGTTCGCGGCTTCATTTACATTTACATGGCTGCCGCGCTGAGCCTACAAACAGCTGATCAGCTGTTTGTCGGCTCGTGCGCTAGTCTGGACATTCCCCCTGTCGACATCAAAGCCCTTTGTCGGCAGCCCCGTTATTCCTCGTGGAATCTTTAAACAAGGGGGAAAGAGGCAGGTTGAACCAGTCTTATAGAGCACGCCTGGCAGGCATGAAGCAGGCTGGCTCAAACCCTTTCCCCCCAACTAAGTTCACTCAGTTCTGGAAGGGGAAGCCTTGTTCATCTGAGACCTCTTACAATGATGGTGTCTCTCCTGCAAGCACTGGTGTCATATTTTACAGTTCCCACATTTAGGGGTAGCATGATTTGTGACCCCACAACAGCCCAAATTAGTTACAATACATCACATTCCATTATAACAACCGATACTCCATCAGCCCTGGCTGAATTGGATTTACATAACCACATCCTGGATTCCTTCCCCATCCCAGCATGAGCTGTGTTTACATATTAACAGTTACTTATCTTGCAAGGCTAAACAACTTCAGCTGGCTGCATTTCAAGCTGTCCTTCAGACCCCTGGCTTACAGATTAATAAAAAGGGGGGGTTAATAAATAAGCAAATTATTCAAAAGATCCACATGCTCATCAGGTAAATAGATAAAATATATGAAACAGAAGCACACAAAAGAGTTATTTTTATCATCATTACTTATAAAATAAACAAGCATACTATGGATTTTAAGCAATACCCGTATTCTTTACAGAAATAACAATAGATTACAAAATGTCTGCTAACCTACCAGCTACACTCCCGCTAATGGCACCAGCAATTTCTTCAAGAACTGCTGTAAAATGACTGAATCTGAGAAGGAAAACAAGATTTCACAAGTATGCTAAAGATACTACAGTATTTGATTTATCATAGCTAATAACAAATAGAATACTTGATAGGCAGCCTGTAGAATACAAATATAATTCCACTAATGGGTCCTGAGTCAGCATAAATAATGAATGCTATGTTTTCATGACTCCAGAACTTCAAGGTGGAATTATCTTAATGGAATAGCTGATTGCATATTTTCTAAGTATTAAATAGGTGTTCCTCTTTTGATTCTTGTGACAACTGAGATTTAATCATCTTTTTCATATTGAATATGACACAAAGTGTTTGTTTAACAAATTAATTAAAATGTCAAAGAATCAGAATCCCTGCCAAGTGCATTACTATGCTGTGTGGAAATTAATTCAAATTACTATTGCTGTCAAGTGTGTCATATTCATATTAATGCAAGCTGATTATGGAAAATAATTACATACTTTTCATGACTGTATGTAAAGATTATAAAGTTTTCATTACCCATCACCCTGAACTATTATTTTTGGTACAACCTACACCAGGACCAGGCAAGATGCGGCCTGCCAAGTCCCAGATCCAGCCCGTGGACTGCCCCACCGGGACACTCAAGCACAAAGCAACCCCACACCACGTTAAGCAGCTACCTGCTCTCTGAGGCTCTCTGCTCTGGGTGCTGGGGGATGATGGAGGTTTTGCGCACACTGCCCATACCCCCAGCACAATTTCTCAGCTCCTATTGGCCAGAAACCAGCAGCCTGGGGCTTTGACGGGCAGGCAGCCTACTTCAGGGTCCTGCAGGGCTGCTAGCAAGAGCCACCTAGGTAAGTGCCTCCCTGCCAGACCCTTCCTTTGGCACCCCATCTGCTCCTGCACCCCAACTCCCTGTTTCAGGTCACCACCTGCTCTTGCCCCAGGTCACCACCCACACTCATAATGCCCTTCCGGATTCTTACCCCTCTTACACCCATCCCCCAGGCCAAAATCCTCTCTTGCACCCAAACCCACTCCCCAACCCTGCACCCCATTCCCTGCCCCTAGGTCATCACCCAAACCCTCTGAACTTCTTCTCCCCCAGGTCAAAACTCCGTCTCAGACTCTGCACCTCCTCCTACGCCCCTCCCTCAGGCCAGAATCCTCTCCTGCACCTATACTCTCTCATGGACCCTGCACTCCAATCCCCTGCCCCAGATCACAACTCCCTCCTTCACTTAAACTCCCTCTCAGACGCCACACCCTTTCCTGCACCCTAGTCCCCTACCCTGAGCTCCCATCCCACACCCTTCACCCCCTCCATAGAAAAGTGTGCCTTTGACCACTTACCAAAATCTTGGAGTGTCCCCTCCCTAAAAATTATTGCCCACCCCTGACATACATGCTCATTCTGAGAGCCTTTTGATGGAAGGAATATAGGCTGATTACAAAATTAAGGCTCTGGGAAGGACAATGTTAAGTATCCATATGCAGTACCAGCATATATGGTAAAGAATAGTCATTACTATTACACAGTCACAAGTTACAGCACCATCTTTCTTAAAACATGCCTTCTGCCAAGCTGAATTTTAGGAAGGATACTGTAGTTAGGTGGAAATCTTGCCTCCTTTCCCCAGAGTGCAGCAGAAGCATATCAATTTTATGTCATTAAGCATACATTTTTGTATGTGCTGAGAAAGCCAGGGCCTGCAACTCATTAGTTGAACTTGTGCCTCTTATAGCATTGGCCTTATTAATGCCTCTCCAAGATCATGCTATTTCCAGGAAAATCTATCATGTTAGAAAACATATGCCAATGCATTTTAACTAATGTCAGGGTAGAGCTTATCCTGACCCTGCTTACACTAACATGACCAAGTAGCATGTTTTTAAGGCCAATTGTCCTTGTCTGCAGTGAGGGAAAAACTGTGTTTAACGTGGTTAAATGTGAATTAACATATTTTCTAATATGATGCATTTCCCTGGTATACACAAGGCCTTATGGAGCTCAAAGTGTCAGCTATATTAAACGTGGCATTTTTTAGACCAAGACTAAAAAAAAACACCTCTTACACCGAGAAGTCTGAAGGAATGCCTAACATAGTAAATGCTAGTGGGAAGGTGGGAGGTTTAGAAGATAAAATAAAAAAAGAACAAGTTAAAAATCACCTAGAAAAGTTAGATGCCTGCAAGTCACCAGGGCCTGATTAAATGCATCCTACAATACTCAAGGAGCTGAGAGAGGAGGTATCCGAGCCTCTAACTATCATCTTTGGAAAATCATGGGAGACAGGAGAGATTCCAGAAGACTGGAAAAGGGCAAATATAGTGCCAATTTATAAAAAGGGAAATAAGAACAACCCAGGAAACTACAGACCAGTTAGTTTAACTTCTGTGCCAGAGAAGATAATGGCGCAAGTACTTAAGGAAATCATCTGTAAACACTTGGAAGGTGGCAAGGTGATAGGGAACAGCCAGCATGGATTTGTAAAGAATAAATCATGTCAAACCAATCTGATAGCTTTCTTTTATAGGATAACGAGTCTTGTGGATAAGGGAGAGGCAGTGGATGTGGTATACCTAGACTTTAATAAGTTGTTTGATACGGTCTCGCATGATATTCTTATCAATACTTAGGCAAATACAACTTAGAACGGGAAGCAACTGCCTAGGAAGGAGTACGGCAGAAAGGGATCTAGGGGTTATAGTGGACCACAAGCTGAATATGAGTCAGCAGTGTGATGCTGTTGCAAAAAAAGCAAACATGATTCTGGGATGCATTAACAGGTGTGTTGTGAGCAAGACACGAGAAGTCATTCTTCCGCTCTACTCTGCGCCAGTTAGGCCTCAGTTGGAGTATTGTGTCCAGTTCTGGGCACCACATTTCAAGAAAGATGTGGAGAAATTGGACAGGGTCCAGAGAAGAGCAACAAGAATGATTAAAGGTCTAGTGCAGTGGTCCCCAACACGGTACCCGCGGGCGCCATGGCGCCCGTGGGGGCATTTGTCTGCGCCTGCCAAGTGCTCAGGGATGGCCTGGCCCCAGGCACGTGGCGCATGCGCGGTGCCGGAGCCAGCCCCGGGCGCATGGCACACGGTGAGCGCTGGCCCCGGGGGCGCCGCGGATTGACCGCCCTGGCCCCGGGAGCGCCGCGAATTGGCCACCCGCGCTCTGGGTGCGCGGTGCATGGGGGGACCGCCAGCCCCGGGTGCATGGCGCTTGGGGGGGGTCCCCGCCCTCTGGCGCCCGGCCGGTCAAT